TTTTTGTAGGCATTAAACTGCCAGAATTTTAAAAGATGGTGTCTCCGTTTGCATTGAACTTTCAGCTTCGTAACTTTGCAGATATTGTTTATGCTCAAACAGCAACATTACACACTAACTAATGTTAAAAAAGTGAAATCGCAATCAACCACCCCTTTAAAACTTTATTAACCTGAAAAGTAACGAAAGATAGTTTTATTCGATTTACCGTACAGACAACGATCGAGCTCAGTTGCTTTTACCTCACGTGATTTCTGTTCGCCATCGTGTTACGCTAATTTTACTTTTAGGTTATTAATATATTTTAAAGACAGTATATATAATTTTACGTTTTTTTTAAGTAAAAACTAAATACCTTATAACGAACCTATATTTAAGAAGGAAGTACTTTAAAGATAAAATATAGTTATAAGTTTCCATTAGCCTACTTCATAATTTATGGGAAAATTATCATTTGCATCATATACACATAGTGGACATACTGAAAGTCCTTTAAAATGCTTCAGTAAACACTGATTATATCAAGGTTATAGAAGCATTCAAAGTGGTTAGGGAATATCTGCATATAGACAGACACACTTTCACACATGGGCTTCTCATCTGTTTGGAGGCTCCAGCTGTAGTGAATTTCCTGGGTTAAACAGTGAAGACGGCACATTGTTTGGGCTCACAAAACCCGCCCTTGTCATGTGCCTTCCCCCTGGTGGAGCGTAGCACAGTCTCCTAGGCAGGCTGCCAGTGTGATGACTCGTTCCCACAGCTCTGAGCCCTGCGCTGAAACCCAATCACCATGTGAGAGACGGCCAGGAACAGAGGTAGGGCCGGCAGGACCGCTGCCACTGGGAGGTTGGCCGAGCGGCATCCCCACCACTGCTGCCGCAGCTCGTAACCCTATTCTTCACATTGTTTGTTTGTTGTATGATTTAACGAACATGATAGAAAACCGTAGAAATATCAAGCTGGCATTATGGAAGAAAACAGCTTATGACCTTTCACATGTTCATTTCTGCAGCTTATGTCAAACTGAACTTTATTTTGTTGTTAATTTTATCTATGAACTTAATAGAAATGTTCATGTAAACGGTCTTAAATATACTATTACTGCAACATTAAAGCAAAAATTCATTAATTCATTTACTCTTATAAACTCATAAATAAGTAAATGTACTTGCATTTAACAATAAAAAGAAATTTTCATGCCATAACCAATCATTTTTTGAGAACAACCATCAAGACCAAAAATAAATAAATGTATACATTTGTATAATAAAATTATAAACTAAAATAATTTACGATCAAATATTTATAAACAGTAGATATTAATAATTATAATATAAATTAGTATTTAGTATTTTGATAT